CTTGCTTCTTTCCATCCCACCCCCCCCATTCACTCATGTTGACACTTACTGCTCACACCTGCAATCCCAGCACTCTGGGAGGCCGAGGTGGGAAGATTCTTTGAGCTCAGGAGTTCAAGACAAGCCTGAATCAGAGTGAGACCCTGTGTGTACTAAAAATTGAAAAATTGAAAAATTAGCTAGGTGTCCTGGCAGGCACCTGTAGTCCCAGCTACTTGAGAGGCTTAGGCAGGAGGATCACTTGAGTCCAGGAGTTTGAGGCTGCCGTGAGCTATGAAGAGGCCACAAAATTCTAGCCTGGGTGACAGACCAAGACTCTTTCTCAACAAACAAAACGCAGTGAAATGGAACATTTCCTGAGTGACCTCCTGGCTGCACTTGGAACACAGAGGTGAAAGGTGCAGGACCTTTTGCTGAAACCTTTCAAGCAGGTCTGGTCTCCTGTGGAGAGCACGCCTCATTTTAACAGAGTGAGGTTCCTCGTCAGCTTCCTGGTGGCTGCTGCTTTAATGGGGGTCTGCCAGTGTGCGTTGAGGGGGGTATCCTGTGGGGTATCCTATGGAGGTCCTGCAGTGGCCCAGACCTTGTGTTTTCACCTTTTGGTCTGAATAACATGTTTTGTTGGCAGGAGAAATCATGTTGGATTTGCATCTCAACCCATGTTGGGTGGGGTGTGGGCAGGTACCAGCAGGTTTAGTTAAACAAAAAGAGGAATCAGATGATGGAGGGGTGATTACTGCTGACACGTCATGTTACCCGCCAGTCTCTTATAAGGAGGTGTCTCGTTTTGTCTGTTAGACGTACTTTGCAACCTGCTTCCTTTACTTAAGGCACCCGGGAGAGTATTTCCTGTTAGTCACTGCCCATCGCAGCATCCTTTACCTGGCGGCCTGCAGCCCTGCGTGGGTCTGGCCTTTGTTATTTATCCTGCGTCCTAGCGTGTTGGGCAGTCAAGCTGCTGATTCCTTAGCATTTGGAAACTGCTGTAACCAAATTGTTGGACACATCCAGCCAGAAACTCTGCTGTCTTTAAAGATACCTGCTGTAAAGCTGTTTGATACGGCCTCCCAAGGCATCTGTCCAGCCACTGACACTGGGATGGTCTCTTCTTTTCTGGGTGTGTCGTGAGCCCTGCCTGTTGCATCGGATAGGCAGGGGAGAGGTGGGGCTGGGGCCTCAGGGCTGGACAGTCCAGCATAGGGGCTGTGTCCACCTCTGTCCCTGTGTCCTGCCTTCACATTAGACTGAGAGTCAGCAGTGAAAGCTTCTGTCAGGGGCCTGCTCCCGTGAAACAAGGGAACACTCGGAAGGGCAGCAGGGCCCAGTGCAGGGAGTGGACTCTTGCTCTCTCTGGCCACCCGGCCTTTCTCTTCTCTCCAGGGCATGGCCCTGAGCTGTCTGCCTGCCCTGAATTGAGAGCCTGACTTTAGGGGTGATTCCCTGGCTTGTGGGCTCTTGGGTGTCCAGCAGGATGAACTTGGTCAGAGTGTTGCTTGAAGGTGAGGCAGCGGATCCCCCGTGACGGGGCCCTGGGAGTCCCGTTCGTGGCAAGGTCCCACTGGACTCTGCCCTGCCCCGAGCCACACCCATCAGTGGTTTCCAGCCATGATTCCTTTGCCTAAAGTCCTTTCTGGCCTCTCTGCTGGACTGTCCTGTGTGTCCCTTCAGTGGCACTGGCTCTGTAGGGTATCCATAGGTGGGCAGTTGGGATATGCTCTCACCCTGCTGTAGGCTGGGACTGGGTCTGTGACATTACCTGTCTGACCCAGTTCCCCAGGGACAGGGGTGCCCAATTTGGGCTGCCTGTCCCAATAACATGGGACGTAACAGTAAGTGCAGATTCCTGGACCCCGGAGCCACTAGGGGTGGGGCCTGGGGCTGCCTTCTGGAGCTTCTCCTGCTGATGTGTGGAAACTGATGGGCGACTGGCTTCTGGGGACCTGGGGGCAGAGCAGGCAGGGCCAGGATTGCCTCTCAGGACCCAGGTCCACCCGCCCCATCATACTGGCCATGCAGTACACTCCTTATTCCCACCAGCTGGACAGCAGATGTGTGTGAGGCCTAGGGTGGACCTCGATGAAACCACAGAGTCACAGTATCAGGAGCTGGTAGCATAGAGGGGCTCCCACAGGCCTGGTCCTCCTCTTTCTCCTCATCCACCCCTGGACCTCCCAGCATACATGTGTCCCTTCCCCTGCCCAGGACTGAGCCCTGTGGGCTGGCAGATAACTGAGTCCAGGGACGGGGCTGGCTGTGGGGGGAGAAAGCTGTGTGTCTTCCAGAGAGGAGGTGATAAAAGTTGGGAAAATGTCAGCCTTTGATATTTATCTTCTAGGAAGAGTCGTCAGGAGCTGTGGGTCAGGAGGCTTTTCATCATGCCAAGAGCACTGACCCCGGGGACACCCAGATCTCTGGCCTGGGAATGGGGTAGGCCCCAGCCAGAGGTGCCTCAAGGAGCCACCTTGGGTGTTCCTCCCTCATAGGCAGGTGGCTCCTGCTCCCAACCTCTCAGGGTGGTAGGTTTCCTACCTCTACCCCAGATCTGACCCCTTGCTATCTCAGGGTGCCCTTGTCTGCTCCTAGCAGCCCCTGGCCTGGTCCTGGGGCTGCTAGGGTGGGGTCCCCCTTGGTGGGCTCTCAAGCTTACCCCCTGCCAGGAACAAAGTCCAGGTGGACATAAGGCCTGGGCCCCTCCAGCATAGCTGACCACATTTAACGTCATGTAAGGAGCTGACCCACCCTTGCTGTGAAACCGGCAGAGCCCTTCATAAGCCACTGGTGACAGCCTGGTCCCAGAGCAGAGCCCTCGAGCTCAGGGCTCAGCACTGTGGCCATGGCAGCTGTAGGAGCAGCTGTCCACTAGAGCATGGACACAGGGTTAGAAGGCCACGTTCTGGCCATGGCTGGCTCGCTTGGCCACAGCACCATGTCCTGTACACGGTGTCACCTCCTGTGTCAACACTGACCATTGGCTGGTGCCTACCTGGGACTGCTGAGAAGATTGGCACCTGTGTCTGGCTCCTGGGGAGGAGCAGCCGGTCGATGAGTGGTGTCTGCCGTGGGAGCAGAGGGGCTGGGCCTTCAAATTCTAACAGTTTAGCATCCTGACATGTGACAGGTCACGCAGCAATGTCATTTCAAGTCTTGTTTCTCCTAAATATTTAGCACTTTTAGAGGCCTAAAATAATAGCCAAGGCCAAGTTGCTTGTTCTTTGTGAAAGGTCCTTTGCAGTGTGGGAGCCATGGTCAGGCCACCTGTGTCACAGGCCAACTGAGTCTTGCCTGAGGAGACACAGAGGAACCCTGTCACCCCATGGGCTGTGACGTCTGTGAGTCCCAGGCCCTGGAGCACAGCTGCCTGTAGGAGAACACTCACAGCCTGAGACTCAGTCCATAGGCTGAGAGAGGGCCCTTCAATATGTTTTTTCCCCCCCTCACTTAAAAAAAATTTCTACTGGAAGCAGAACGGCCCGAGAGGAAGTCTGAGCAAGAGCCCCAACTGGGAGGCTTGTCTGCTGCGTGTGCAAAGCAGCGTGGCCTTGCAGGGGTGACACGTGGGAAGTGTCCCTGGGCTCAGCTCCTGGGGACGTCTGTGGATTCAGCAGGTGGTGTCATTTTCTTGTTGTCCCCTGCCAGACACACACACACACACACACACACACACACAGAGAGAGAGAACTGCGCACCGTGCACATACGAGCAGAGGGACAGCCACCTGTGTACAGCACCCACACGCTGCGGCCCCACGTCCAGGCGGCGTCTGCTCCCTCGGAGCGTGAGTGGGGGCCGTGGCAGCCCAGTAATGCTGTTAGCCCATCATGAGCCGCTTCCTGTCTGGTGTGTGACTCCTTTGTACTTCTGGGTCTGCCACCCCGCCCTCCCTGCCTCAGTTTCCTCATTTCCAGCCATGGATCTTCTGGCTCCACCTCCATAGAGTAGCTGCAGCAGGGCCTTTGAGGCTGGGAGCCGGGTGGTCCTTGGGTCTCTGGGGAGGCTGGCCATATATCAGGGCAGAGGAAGAAGGAAAGGGCACTTTGCTTGTGGAAGGTTCCAGAACTTTCGTTTTTGGTGAGTCTGCTGTGCAGCTCTCTACCTGGAGCTGTGTTGTCCTACACCCTGACCCTTGCAGCAGCTGGGCATCTGTGTAAACGTCATGCAGAGGGAGGGACCTGGGGGGGACCAGGCACTGCCCTGGCTGTTTGCACACGTGGTGCTGGCTGTGGTGTGACCCCGGGCATCTGACCTCTCTGGGCTTCCTTTTCCCATCTCTGACATGGGCATGAAGTCACTCCCATGAGGATGAGCCGTCACTGACCACTTCAGGAAAGCAATTCGGCCTGGGTGTGGTGGCTCACGCCTGTAATCCCAGCGCTCTGGGAGGCTGAGGCGTGAGGATCTCTTGAGACCAGCCTGAGCAAGAGCAAGACCCTGTCTCTATTAAAAACAGAAAAACTAACCGGGTGTTGTGGTGAATACCTGTAGTCTCAGCTACTCAGGAGGCTGAGGCAAGAGAATCACTCAAACCTGGGAGTTTGACGTTGCTGTGAGCTATGATGATTACATGGTACTCTACCCAGGGTGATAGAGTGAGACTCTGTCTCATTAAAAAAAAAAAAAAAAAAAAAAAGCAGTGTAGGACGAGCCCTTTGTAAACATGAGCTGATTCAGGACCCTCCTTGGTGGAAACACCACCCGGGGTCAGAAACAGCCGGCCGGCCCGGAAGCAGCAGCCTGGCCCCAGGAATGTGGCGAAACTCAGCAAATGTTAGTGCATCATCGTGACAGATGTTACACAACAAAAACAAAATAGGTAAAACACTGAAAAACGCTAAACGTTGTGTTTCTCACGGGGGTGGGGTGGGGTGGTGGTGGTGGTGGGGTGGGGTGGGAGGTGCTGAGTTCACAGTTCTCAGCCTCTGCTGAATAGTGTTCCAACTTCATGATTCGTTTCTCTCTCTCTCTCTCTCTCTCTCTTTCTCTCTCTCTCTCGTCTCCCCCAGGTCATCTCTGCGGTGTCCAGACTGTCCCTGCACAGTGCTGCACAGAACAAGGGCATCAGGTGAGCTCTCCGGGCGCTGCTTCCAAGGGCGGCTCCTTTATTCTCCATCAAGACCAGCCTGCCTTCACGCAGGTGTGAGGGTTTTGAGCGGAAATCCTCCACCTGCGTCTTTATCGTAAATTCCCAGTTTATTTTCAAGTCTTCTGTTATTGGCTGGCAGGGACGTGGAGAAGGGGGCTGTCAGCTCACACAAGGGAAATCTTGCAAGCATGTTACTGACGGCTGCAAAATCTCTTTTGATTTAAGTAATAAGATCAGCAAATTAATCCTGCCACAGATCATTGCCTACCTAAATGCATGCTCCACACGTCAGAACCAGGGCTGTGCCTGTGGTGAATGAGGTGGCTGGTGTTTGTTTGCAGGGATGGGGCCAGAGCTCAGTGGACTTGCCCTAGTTGGGGCCATAGGTGTCTTGGGGCATCTGGACAAACCAACCCCAAGGGATTTCTCCACTTGGTTTAATTCTGCTTGGATGGCTGGGCTCCATCTCAGAGAATACCCTGACCCTTGTGGTCTGGCCTCCTGTCTGTGTCACATGGATGGGACAGGTGGACAGTGGGAAGGGGACAGGGCAGCCCGAAATGAGGAGAGATTGCTGTGTATTCTGCCTCACAGGTCGGGGTCAGGGAAACCAGTCTCCAGAATGGGCAGGGAGGACCACACAGCTGTTCTTCCCTGATGTATCTGGAAGGCTCCTACAGGACAGGGCCACAGGCTGTGACAAGGGGCCTGGGTGACAGTGGGAGCCCACTGAGAGCCGAGTGCTTGAGGCCACACCTGGGCACAATCACATGAGAAGGGTACTCCAGCTGTAGACGGGGCCTTCCCCCTGACGTCCTCCCTGGGGACACCGTGCTAGGCTGTTTTCCAGCTATCACCAGGTCTGTAAACAGAAAATGATTGACTGGAAATGATTGACTATTCTTTATCCTACCATGCCGTGATGACACTGTCACTGTCCTGGTGACACTTGAAATGAAATCTGTGAAGCAAAAATCAGTCATTTGATTTGCTTTTACACAAAATACTAGACTTTGATCTCTTCTCCAAAATTCATTAAACATTCTCCCCAAACCAGTGGCCTGGTGCTACAGAGCTATGTCAGGTGAGTGACATGGCTGGGTTGGTGCTGGCGTGGTCCTGCTGTGGCGTGTCCCCGGCTGTGCCCTTCCCCTGGCCTGCAGCCTAAACATGCCCCCAGCCCTAGCTGGGCCCATGTTCCTGGCTCCTGATGCCCCATCGGTGGCTCTGAGAGCCTGTTTCGCTGGGGCTGATGACGGGGCCCCACAGGCGGCTTAGAGGCTGGTGAGGAACATGGAGGGAACTAGCCCTGGGTCTGTCTGGGGTGTGTGTCCTGCTGTGGTTAAAATAGAGGCTCCTCATGCTTGGGGTGGGCACCCTCTTTCCTGGCCACCTGGTGTTTCCCCATCAGTCTAGTCTTGCTGCCCCAAGGCCCAAGTGGGCACTGCAGGGCTTCTGGAAGCTGCTGCCCTCAGACAGGGTGGAAGCAGGCATTCAGCCCTTTGGCTGGGCCCTGAGACCAGCAGATGCGACCGGACCCCCACCCTCACCCTGTTTTCCTCTGGGCTGGGCTTGTCAGGCAGCATGTGGGTCTAGTGGCCCCAGACAGGGAATGAAGACCCCAGCCAAGAGGACCATTGCTCTATGGGAGATGGCAAGCAGGGGCCTAAAGATTGCAGGCTGCAGAGCTGGCAAGGCCCAGGCTGAACCCCATGTCCTGGTCAGCCGTGAGTCTTGTGCTGAGACATCTCTCTGAAGGCCTGGGGTCTCCCTTTCTATACTGGCGAGTCAGGGACAAACACAGGGCCTCCTCGGGCGTCTGAATCCCTAGCTCAGTGCCCAGCCCACAGAGGGGTTCACCAAATGGTTCTGATGATGGTCAGAGTGTGTTCCGTGTCCCTGAGGACCACGATTCACCGGGACTCACAGATGCAGAAGAGACCTATGTTCGTGGTTACAAAGTAAGTCAGCAAATGGTGAAAGCACCTGGGGGGTTCACGTTGTCCCCCCATAGAGTCTTCGGGAGAGCACTTAATTAAGATTTGTTAATGTTGAGTAATAAAAGGCAAAGAGAACCTCTAGCCAGGGAAACCCGCCCAAGCCCCTTCATTGCCGGTCAGTCGTGTTGGCATGGAATGCCTGCTCCCCGAGCCTGGTTGCTCCGTGTCCAGCCCCTCTGAGGTCACACTGATTCTGCATGGCCCAGGCCTCGCCATGCATCACATCATCAGTGTGGCCTTGTGTGGCCCAAGGTCCCAGGCACAGGCAGTCCCGAGTTTCAAATATCCAGCTGATGTGCAACTCATTTTTACCAACAGAGGGTGTTACAGCTGTTAGCTAAACATCTGTTCCAGCGGTTCCAACCTACATACAAACTCAACTTAAAAACAAAGCTACCCGAGACTGCCTGTGTACAAAGACCCTCTCATCAGAGTCTCACCAGGCAGGGCTAGGCTGGAGGTCACCTCCAGGAGCCGGGAGAGCCAGCCCTTTCTTTGGCATGTGCAGTGGTCGAGCGCCCCAGGCCTGCTGATGCACCCTGTTACTGCACATGGGACCGGCAAGTAGGAGGCCAGGAGGGAGATGCTTGCAGACACCAGGGCACAGGGCTTTGCCCCTCAGCCTCTTGACCATGCCCCGTCTTCTCCTTCACTCCGGTCTCCCCACACCCCCACCCTTGCCTGATCCCCAGTCCAGACTACTTCTGGGTCTTTCCCTCTGCAGGCCCTGGGATTGAGAGCTCCTGTGAGCCCTGGGGACAGGTGACCTTCCCAGGCAGCCCTGTTGGGCACACCAAGTCCCAGCCCTCCACACAGGCTGAAATTGTCATGGTGAATGGAGCATTCTAGGGGCAGGTGCCAGCACTTTGCAAGACACTAAGCTCTTCATCGAGAGCATTTTATGGTGCCATTAATTAGCAAAGGTTTTAGTTTAGCCAAAACCTTTCTTTTCTGAAAACCCACCACCAAGCCTGCAGCCCTGGAGAACCCCTTTTCCCTTTCATGGCTGAACAGGGGCCCAATGTGCTCCTTACAAAAATGATTTTCACAACCTTGAATTTTGTATAATTAGCTGATTTTCTATAAAAGCCCCAATTATGCTTCTCTGAGGCTGATGAATGGGAGACAGAATCCCACCCTGGTGCAGGCTGGGGGATCAAACACAGCGGGTGGGGGTTGTGAGGCAATCTACCCAGGAAAAGGGGTGAGTCCTTCTTGTGGCCAGAGTTTGCCCTCCCTGTCGGAGTGTCCTGAGTTAGGTGGTGAAGGGCAGGACTCTCCCTGTGCCCAGAGGTCAGGGCCACAAAGGACACCTCATTAGCCAAGTGACCTTAGGCAGGGACACCCTTGGAACCTCTGTGTCTTCTCCTGTCAGCTGGGAGCATTGCCCTACCTGGCAAGGTCGCAATGAGGGGTTCAGCTCAACACTTTGGACGTCCTGACACCCGGGCCTCGGGACTGTAACAGGAAGAGGGTTTTAATAGATGTAACTAAGTTTGTAATGATGAGGCAGGAGGGTCAAAGTCAGGAAGAAATGGTTCCATAGAGGTGGGGGTGACATGGCTGTGAATGGAGGGCTGCAGGCGACTTCAGAAGCCAGGAGAGGCCAGGGACGATTCTCACAGAGCCTCAGGGGAGAGACTCGCCTGGCTAACAACACCTGGCTGTTTGCCTGAGACCATTCAGGATTCTGATTTGGGAGCTGGGGGTCGCTGTGGAGTCTTGTGGCTTGTTCCAGCAACAGGAGCTGTAGGGCTGGCCCCAGGCTGGGTCCTCACCAGGCGGGGTGCTCCTGGGGCAGGGACCAGCTTCCATCTTTGATTCCCTCATCCCTGCCCGGCCCCCCTCCCCTTCACTCGCGGAGATTTTTAGTTGAGGTAAATTCATATACATAAAATATACAATTTAGTGACATTTAGGACCTCTGCAGTGCTATGCAGTCGTCACCTCTGTGTAATTTCAGAACATTTTCATGCCCTGTAAGGAAGCCCTGTAGTGCTTTGGCCACAGGTGCCGCCCTGTTCTTGGCTCCTTTTGCCTGGGCTGGTGTCTTCAGGGATCACCTGAGTTCACAGGTGTCAGCTGTGTTCCTGCTGCAGCCCGAGTGACTTTCTGTCCTGTGATGGACGAGTTTGCTCATTCACTCTTTACTCGATGCACCTGTGGGTTGTGTCTTGGCAACCTGGGCTGGGCAGGCAGGAGTTGGGGGTCAGGGTTGTGTTGAGGTTGGGGTGAGAGAAACTGGACGCCTCCCAGCACCCAAGAGCTGGAGCTTCCTGCTTCAGTTTGAAGCAAATTCTCAGAATATTAGACACACCCAGATCAAATCCAAGTACAAGAAAACATTCAGAACTGAAATGTCACTGGAGGCTTTAGAGAATGTGGGAGGAGCTGGTGATGGGCCCCAGAGCTCCTGGGCACTGAACCTCCCAAAGGGTGGCTTGAGTTGTGCGGGCAGGGCACTCTCTTGGGGCCCTGGCCTCATTGCCTGGTGTTTTCTCGTCCGTGCTCAGGAGATGACTGGAGCCCAGTTGCCTGCTGGGAAGCTCAGCTCATGAGAAAGTCTGTTATTCCCAGTGGTGATCTTCCTTTCTACCCTAAGCTTGTTTGCCTTTCTGAGTCACCTAAAAAGTGCCAGACATCTCTCCACCCCAGGGGCAGTGGGGGCCCTGGCCAAGGAGCAGGGTCAGCAGGCCCACATCTTGTCCTCCTAAAGCCTGGCCTTCACGTGTGGGAGTGGCCCTGCTGTGGCTGCTGCAGCCTTCTGTCTTGGGCATGACGTCCCCAGCTTTTTGCTGTCCTCCTTGGTGCTGCCTGGTTAATTCCAGGTAACTGAACTAGCCATGAGAGAGGGAATTTGGATGGGAAGTGGCAATTTTTATATGCTCAGCAGCTCATCCTGCCGGCAAGATGGTTTTAATTGTCCCACCTGGTGACATCAAACATCCTGGCCACCTGTCCTTGGTTGGTGAATCCCCA